TGCGGGGATGAGCGCGGCGAATTGCCTCTTCAGCACGTACTCGTCGTCCCACGCTCGCTTCTTAGTCGCCGACCCGCGAACCTCGTACTCCTCCTCCTCCTGCGAAACACACACACACATGCTGCGGTTACCACGGTTACCGCGGATGCTGAGGGCGGATGCCACCATCGTGAGAAGACGTCACGGCATTACAAGTTCCACAGATGCAAGTACAGCAGCTGAATCATTACATACCACGTCACCATGGCAACTATATATATATACATATAAATACATATATAGATGTGAATAGACAGATAGATAGATCGAATAGATAGATGGATCACGACGGCTGGTCAATCGCATAGGAGATAGATGGCGCCACTCACCAGCACCTTGTGATAGATGGCGCCACTCACCAGCACTTCCTCGTACTCGTCATCGTCCTCGTTATCATCCTCGTTATCTTCATCCTCATCCTCATCGTCAGGCTCTGGTAGTTCATCATCATCCTCCAGCTCTGCTAGCAACGCACTCGCTCTACACGTCTCCAAGAAGTCATTGTCACTCTCACTGTCAACAACAAACAATAACAACATCAACAACAACAACAACAACAACAACAACAACAACAACAAACAACAAACAACAAACAACAAACAACAACGACCGACGACCGACGGCCGACGGCCGACGGCCGTCGGCGACCGACGACCGACGACCGACGACCGACGACCGACGGCGACGGCGACGACGACGACGACGACGACAACAACAACAACAACAACAACAACAATGAGGATGTTAACTACAGCAACAGTAGAAATCGAATGAAATCGAAATTGCACAGCAGGGACATACCTTGACGTGGTGGAAGCGAGACTCATCGTTAGCGCCTGTGACAGAGAGGTGGCGCCACTAGCCGCGACGCTGGAGGTAAGAACGTTCGACGCGTGAGTGTTGCTGTTGGTGAGACTCGGGAAGCTCTGCGCTGCGCTCAACGGACCTGCAACACGACGCAACATTGATGCAACGTTAAACCCTGAAACGCAACACAATGCAACATGAGTCAACGTTAAACCCTGACACGCAACACGAGGCAACATGAGTCAATGTTAAACCCTGACACGCAACACAATGCAACATGAGTCAATGTTAAACCCTGACACGCAACACAATGCAACATGATGCAACATTAAACCACGACACGCAACACGAGGCAACGTTGAAACCACGGCACGCAATATGTAACAACACGACACACCAATGAAATACAACGTTGAAACCGCGACACGCAACTTTATACAATATTGAAACTGCGATGTGCAACATGTAACAACACGACGCAACGTTGATACCCGCAACCTGCAGCCAGTAACAAGATGCAACTTTTCTCTCCCTGTTTACTTACACCATCAAACCGCTGAATGTGATAATACGATTGTAGGTGGCGCCACGATTACGCTCGCACGACGTAGGGGGCGCTGCGCTCACCTGGCAAGTTTGACGACAGCGCCAGCCGGACTAGACTGCTTGCATTGTTCACTCCTCCTCCTCCGCCGCGCGCCGGCCCCATGTTGTTCTGCGCGTTGTTGGCGGCGGTGGCGCCCCCTGCCTGGCGGCGGCGGGCGACGGCGGCAAACGTCTCCAGGAGACTGACGGTCGACTCCAGACTGCTCGACAGATTCGGCACGGACACGCTCATCGCGCCGCCGCCGCAGCGACCGCCGGGGGGCGCCACCGCAGCCCCCGCCGCCACCGCAGCAGCGGACGCCTCCGCGCGCTTGCCGGCTGCGGTTGCCGCGGCGACCTTCTCGCGTCGTCGTTCGCTGATGCGCTTCAGAAGAGTCTTCTCCTCGTTGCGACGCTGGTGGTGTTCGTGCGCTGCCGGGAGCGTTGCCCCCGACGACGACGTGCCGCTGGGTCCCGCTGCTGCAGCAGTGGCGCCACCTGCTGGCTCATCCGTCGTCACGACGATCGCCGTCTCTGCAATGCGAAGATCCGTGAACATCGGTACATATTATTAATTGGTGAATATTATTATTAATATCAATATTATTATTTATATTTACTGTTATGATTACTATATATTATGACATTTTAGTTATCACTGTTTATTTTTACCAATTGTTATGATATAATTTAATTATTACTGTCTGCAGCTAAGCAGCCAGTAACCTGAAGGTCACTGTCAGTTATGAATATTGATGTTCTATTATTATTATTATTATTATTGTTATTATTATTATTATTATATTTAAATCATTACTGCCCATTACTATAAATTATTAGAATCAATTATTATTATTATTATATTTTGATTATTACTATCAAAGTTATTTGTCCACATTGATGTAGCTGTCAATGGAACGGACAAGCAAATATCGACGTAACGTTGCTATAAGGGCCTACAGGTGGCGCTACTCACCGGTGTTGACCGACGTTGCCGTGGCGTTGGCGGGTTCGTCTGCCGGGTCGACTGTTACCATTACGAGGGCCTCTGCGCTCGCCAGACTCAGTACGCTCTCCGCCACCGCTTCTGCTGCCGCCTGGTGGAGGGAAACAACACTGTCAGACGTCATCTCTCGTTCACTGCTATACAGGGTGCGAGATGTTTTGTTTGGTTGCATTCCGGAGTTAGTGACAGCCAGGAGGTAAGATGGCCACCGCAGTGTAGCAAATAAATGCCTTATAACAACATCACATGACAATTACCATACTCTAACGTGTGCATGACTATACTTAAACTGTCCTAATCTGTACTTACAACACCAACATTAACAGCATTAATACACTAAAAACATTCTAAAATTTTTTGTGAAATGTCAACAAACTAGCTAACTACTTAACTAACTAACTGAGTAATTAACAAACTAACTAAATAACTAACTCGCTAAACCAATAATTAATAAATAAACAAATAAATATACCATTAAACGAATAGTTACCTAGATAAACAAATGAATATATAAATGAATAACTATGTAGATAAACAAATGAATGAATTAATTAATTAATAAACCAATAAATATACAGTCAGGTATGTGAATAAATGAATTAAGACATAGATAAACATATAAGTACAAACATAAATAAACAAATAAACAAACACAATGCCGCATTGCAACAGCATACAAAACAAGAGCCACATCACCGCAGACAAAATGGCCGCTCACCTTGGAGGTGACCTTGGATGGGAGGCTGTCGGCAGATGCTGCTTGCTCAGTGGCTGCGACCGACGGGAGCTTGCTCTTATCTGCGGCCTCCGGTAGACTCGGGGTAGAGCTGCTCTTACTACGACTAGACACCAACACTTTACCTGAGGGAGAGACAGAGGAATGTGTGAGCGTGTACCTCCCCTTCTCCCTCCTCCTCCCTCCTCCCTCTCTGCCTCCCTACCCTCTCTCTATCCTTCCCTCCTTACTACGACTACACACTAACACGTTACCTGGGGGAGAGACAGAGGAATGTGTGAGCGTGTACCTCCCCTTCTCCCTCCTCCCTCTCTCCTCCCTCTCTGCCTCCCTACCCTCTTTCTATCCTTCCCTCCTTACTACGACTAGACACCAACACTTTACCTGGGGAGAGACAGAGGAATGTGTGAGCGTGTACCTCCCCTTCACACACTTTCTCCCTCCTCTCCCTCTCCCTCTCCTCTCCCCTCCCCTTCACACAC